GCCCCAGGCCTGGCCCCGGCACCCACGTGGGCTCTGCTGGTCTGCAGCAGTGGGCTGGGACCCTGTGTCATCCAGGAAGAGGGTGCTGACACCTCTCCACAGGGCTGAGTGAGGCTGTCCTGGTGGAGGCCCCGCAGCCTGCCTCCCGGGGCTGTGCCAGGGGCCCACGAGCAGCCCAGTGGGGTCCAGGTTTAAGGCTGGCCTCGTCCAGGAGGAAGCCGTCCTGCCAGAGAGGGAGCTGGCCCAGGCTGTCAGAGCTTGGGGTGGGGGGCAGGGGCCCCGTGTTTCCGAGTGTCCACTGTGGGCCAGGCCTCAGGGCCAGAGGGGGCACCACCCCAGCTAAATTGATGAGCTTAGCAAGGCCTTTCCAGCGCCCCCTAGGGGAGGCAGACAGACCTCTGTGGGCAGACAGACCCGGCGCTTAAAGGGTGGAAATAGGGCCCTGTCATCACGGTCAGGAAGGGCTTTCTGGAGCTGGGCAGACAGCACAGGAGGGGAGGGGGCGGAACCCCAGCTGCCCGGACGCCTGGCTTCCTGTGTGTTGGGCTAAAAAGGTGACATATAGCACCTGGGTCTTTGCCTGTCCTTGCCTTCAGGGAAGCCTCTGGAAGTCACTCTCCTGCCCTCAGGTACCCCTCCCGGAGCCCCGGGACACACTCTCACCCTCAAGGCCCTGGACCCGGGGTTCCCCGGCGCTGGGCCTGCCTTGCCCCTGCCTGTCACTTGTTCAGCCCGTGAGGCAGGGGTGGGACAGGAGGCTCCTCCCCCAGGGCTGTGACTCTTAGGGCCCCCAGGCAGGTGGCTGTGGCTGTGCCTGTGCGTGAGGCTGCCCTCGGCTGGCTGACGCCTCTCTCCGCTCCCCGTCGCTGGCAGGGGTCCGATGCCCAGGTGCTTGGGAACCCCTCCCCGCCTGCCCCCCCAAGACCACAGAGCTTCCAGCCACAGGCTGCTGTTGGCACTGCTGCTGGGAGCTCAGGGGCGGCAGCTTCACGTGCGTGTGTGAGTGTACGTGTGTGGGTGTGAGTGAGCATGTGAACACGTGTGGGCATGAATACGCGGGGGTGGGCGTGAACGTGCACACGCCCACTTTGTCCGTGAGCGGCCTGGACTCCCCCCCAGCAGCTGGGACAGCGGCTCCCTTTCCCCAGCCCACCTGGCTGCGTGGGTAGAGCTGGCCTGGGAGCAGTACCCCGAGGGCTCCCCACGGAGGCACTGTTCTAGGTCTTTATGGGTGTTAGCTCGTTTCATCTCACAGCAGCCCTGCTAGGTAAGGGAGTGACGCCACTGTCCCTGTTCTATACGTGGGGAAACTGAGGCACAGGGACACTGACACACGGTCACATTCTAGAAGCAGGCAAAGCAGCGTTCGAACCCCAGCCCTCTGGTTCCCCTCAAGACTAGCCGCCCCCCTGGGCTGGGCAGGAGCCACTCCCTCACACCTCTGTCCAGCAGCAGGCGGTTCTGCCTCCTGGTGGGGACACCCGGGGTGTCCCTCCCCTCAACCTCTGCTCCTGGGGGACTGGGCACCAGCAGGGACTGCGGCATCGCCATAAGCCGGCCCTTCTCCCACGTGACAGCTGGGAGGGACTGGGAAATGTCACATTCCCAGAAGAGGAAGCCGGGCCTGCGGGAGCCGCACTGGCTCTCACGTGGCAGAGCTGGGAGCAGGCCAGGGGCCTCCCACGGCTGGCTGAAAAGAGCTACTGGCAGGTTTCTGGGTTCGTGTTTTAATTATAAAGGTAGTATGGTTCGCGGTTTAGGGGAAAAAAAAAAAAGATAACCAAAAAAGAAAAAAAAAGAACCCAACAACAAAAAACAAACGAAATCAAAGCTGTAGGAGATCCAAGTGCGCCTCCCGGGTGCCCAGGCCTGGCACGGCGCCTTCTGGGCAGTGTCAGCTGTGGTGGCCTCTGCCCAGAGGGCTCTCCCCCGACCTGCTGGATGACGATGCGCCCTTGCAGACTCGCCCTGCTACTCCTGCCTGTTCTGCTTGTTCTGTTCTTCATGGCCCGGCTCCCATCCAGCAGGCCCCAGCCCCGGCCTCCTGCAGCAGCCGGGCAGCCCCGAGGACGGGGGGTCTGCCTGTCGGGCGCCTGCCAGGCCCTGGCACCTGACACGTTTCCCAGACAAGCCCAGACAAGCGGTGAGCCCAGCTGTGCCCCACCCCGGCCTTGCCCCAGGCGCTAGGATCCTGCTTGGCCAGTGACGCTTATCTTACCTTAGTTTTCTCATCTGGCGAACGGGAGTGGTGGTCCTGGCGCCACCCAGGCTGTGGTCTAGGCCCGCGAGCTCTTTGGCAAGCCCCGATGACCGTGTGAACCCTGGCCTCGTGCGCTGCCAGGCTGGGTGGACTCAGGGCCCCAGCGGGGGTGCCGCCTGCCCTGGGCCCGATTCCCCAGCTTCCTCACCCCAAGAGGGGTTTCCTTGAGGGGGTGCGTGTAGATGTACTGATTTCAGCATCAGCTCCACACACGCTGTGTTCTGCACGTGGGGGCGGGTGAGGGGATCCGGCAGGAGAGGTGGCGCGAGGTGGGCGGTGGTAGGCGGGCTCCGGCTGCGGCAGGAGGGGCAGCGGTCGCTGCCAGCGCTCGGCCGAGCTGGGGCTGGCGGGGGCCAGGCTGGTGAATGGGGCTCGTCGCTGGTGGAGACGTCTAGGCAGGCGTGTGGCGTGGTCTGACTGAGGATTTAGGGGAGCAGCCCGCAGGCGGGGGCGGCAGGGCCTGCGGCCGCTGTGCTTGCTCTCCAGCTCGTGCGTGTGAAGGCGGAGCACACGAGGCGGTGCTGTTCTCGCACCCTGCTGTGTGCTGTGGGCTGGGGCGGGGTTTGTGGCTGACACTAGGCCCCTAAGGTGAGTCCCTTCCCCCATGACTGGCGCCTGTCCCTGTGACGGCCCTTGATTTCCACCGGAGACCCCCTGCTGTGGCCTGGCTGGTGTCCCTATGTGACCTTGGACAACCTCTCTCCCCCCGCCACTGGCCTCGGGGTCCCCTCTGTGACGCGAGCACCCTGGGCCCGCTCCCTTCCCCCACCCAGCTGGTGGGCCAGGGTGGCCAGGTCCTGTCAGACGCTCCTGCCTGTGCTGCAGCCCCGTGGCGGTGCCCCGGCCTTTCCCAAGAGGGTGCCCCCTGCTGGACCTCACGCGGGAGGGCAGAGGCCCAGCCTCCAAACAGCACATCGGCCCCAGGGCACCCACGTGGCTTTGGATCATGGCTGGAGGTGCAGGCCCCGGTCAGGGGGAAGGTGGGAGAGCCCTGCCTCGGGTGTGGGGGTCATCAGGGATGGAGGGCTGGGCAGGCTGGCTGCTGGGAGGGCAGGGGGTGCCGTCCTGCGTCTGCCGCCTGGCAGCTGTCTCCTGGGAGACAGCCGCTGGGCACCAGCGCTGTGGTCCAGCGGTCCCAGTGCCTCTGTGGCTGAGCCTCTGGTCCCGAGGGGGCCCCGCAGGGGGCAGGCGGGCCTGGGGCGTTCCACCCCCCGGTGGCTCCGTAGGCTCACGGCCACGTCGCTGAGTGTCAGGATGCGGAGAGGGTGTTTCCAGGTCCCCCTGAGGTCTGCTTCTCTGTAGTAGTGCCGGCAGGGGCAGCTAAGGGGTGTCCATGGTCGCACCGCCGTGGGGTGGGCACCTCTCTGTGGTACTTACTTGGACCGCCCACGAGGTGTGCACGGTCAGGGCTAGCCTGCTGCCCTGCAGCCCTGTGTCAGCTGCCACTAAACCCAGCAAAGCACGTGTGGGCAGAAAGGCTGTGATGTGGGCGCATGGGTTCTTCCTCCTTACCTCCTCTGAGGCTGTTGTTTGTTTGTTTGTTTGTTTGGGGTTTTTTTTGCGGTACGCGGGCCTCTCACTGCTGTGGCCTCTCCCGTTGCCGAGCATAGGCTCCGGACGCGCAGGCTCAGCGGCCATGGCTCACGGGCCTAGCCACTCCGCGGCATGTGGGATCTTCCCGGACCGGGGCACGAACCTGTGTCCCCTGCATCGGCAGGCGGACTCTCAACCACTGCGCCACCAGGGAAGCCCTGAGGCTGTTTTTTTAACTGGTGAAATAGTGGTGAAGCACTGGGCCAGGCAAACTGAAGAGCGTGGTGCCCAGACCAGGCCGGGCTGGTGCCTGTTGTGACAGATGAAGGCTCTGGGCTGTGTCCCTGTTACCCTGTCCACCTGAGGCCCCAGCCCAGGACTGAGCCCGCAGCGCGTGTCACCGCTGGATCCAGTCAGCTGCTTTCCGTGGGGGATGCTGGCCTCAGTGACAGAAGGGTGCTGGGGGGCAGTTCCTCGTCCCCTGGTGCCTCCTGGGATGTGGTCGGAGCGTGCTGGCCCTTCCGGCTGCCCGGGGTTCAGGGGCTCACAGAGGCGGTCAGATCCAGAGTAGTCTCCGCACTCAGGGTGAGGATGGTGACAGTGCTGACGGCCCCACACCCAGGGCCCTGCAGCAGGTGTGGGTGGCCTTCCCTGAGACTCTGTGCCTACCTCTTGTGGGGAGGCAGCATCACCCCCTGTTTACAAAAGAGAAACTGAGGCTCAGGGAGAGTAAGGGCCTTCCCTGGCCACGTGGCCAGTCAGCAACTGTGCTGGCCCTGCCCAGGGTCCCCCGCCAGCACCTCCTCACAGCGCCTGGGCCGGAATCCCTGTTCAAAGATATGTGCCTTGGGCTCTGGGGCCCAGGATGTGGTGGGCTCCCGTGGGGAGCACACAGGGCCTGGGCAGGGTTAGGAGAAGGGATCCCATGGTCTTGCCCACCTGGGCCCTCCCAGTGGGGCTTAGAGTCTTGGTGTCTAGGAATGAAGACATGAGTCAGGGGTCCCGAGTCTGGGGTCCTGAGTCTGGGTGACCACAGGCACATCACCCAGGTGCTGGGAGCCTCTATCCCCAGGGCTGGGGGAGGGTTCAGTGGGAGAGTGTGCCGGTCCCGTGGCCCAGGCGCAGGTGGAATTCGCTGGTACTGCAGTTGGGTGCAGAGCCAGGGCGGGGGTCCACACCTCCAACACCACTTCCCAACCTCCCTCAGGCGCTGCTGCTGCTGGGGGCGGCCGCGCTGGCCTGCCTCGCCCTGGACCTCCTCTTCCTGCTCGTCTACTCCTTCTGGCTGTGCTGCCGGCGGCGCAAGAGCGAGGAGCACCTGGACGCCGACTGCTGCTGCACCGCGTGGTGCGTCATCATCGCCACTCTGGTCTGCAGGTGAGCGCGCGGGGCGGGCCGGGTGGGGGCGTGGCCAGCGAGGGGCGTGGCCAGACTGGGAGGGGCGGGCAGGATAGAGGGGTGACTGGGCCGAGAGGAGAGGGGCCGGGTGGACCGGCCGGGGGCGGGGCGGGGGCGGGGCAAACTGGGGGCGGAGCGGGCCGGGGCTCCCGGGCCTGTGCCCTCATGCGGCCCCGCCCTGTCCCAGCGCCGGTATCGCCGTGGGGTTCTACGGCAATGGGGAGACCAGTGACGGCATACATCGGGCCACCTACTCGCTCCGCCACGCCAACCGCACGGTGGCGGGGGTCCAGGACCGCGTGAGTGGCCGCATGGGAGGGGCCTCTTTTCCTGCTCCTAAACTGCGTGTGTGCGCGTGTGCCCCAGTGTGTGGGAGCGAGGCGTGGGCGTGTGTGGGAGCGGGCCCGTGCCCCGGCTCACGCCACCCCGAACCTGGCGCAGGTGTGGGACACCGCAGCTGCCCTGAACCGCTCGGCGGAGCCCAGCCTGCAGAGCCTGGAGCGGCAGCTGGCCGCCCGGCCAGAGCCCCTGCGGGCTGTCCAGCGGCTGCAGAGCCTGCTCGAAACGCTGCTGGGCTACACGGCTGCCATCCCATTTTGGAGGAACCCAGCCGTGTCTCTGGAGGCGCTGGCCGAGCAGGTGGACCTCTATGACTGGTACAGGTGCGGCCCTCTTTCCTTCCTGCCCCGCTCGGTTCCCACTAGTCTCTATGGGCCAGTCGGCGCCCAGCTCCCAGTGCCTGAGGTCTTTTGGGGCGAGGGGCTGGGGCCACTGGTGGTCACTGTGGCAGGAGTCCCCCATGGGGACATACGTTACAAGAGTGAGGGCAGTCTCCATATCCCAGAACTGCCTGTGGAAGCTCCTCTGGGCTGTTTGCCTGGCTCTGCCCCAGCAGCCCCTTTCTGCCGCCCTGGGATTGGGCCCTCTGGGCCCAGCCCATGTGTACGCTGTGCCCCCAGGTGGCTGGGCTACTTGGGCCTGCTGCTGTTCGACGTGGCCATCTGCCTCCTGGTACTGGTCGGCCTCATCCGCAGCTCCAAGGGGATCCTGGTCGGGTGAGTCTGTGGGCCCTCAGGGCAGGGGGAGGGGGTGGGGCACCTGCAGCGCCATGTCCCCCGAGTCAGCCCTGTCCCACCCTCCTGTCTGTGGGTCCAGCCTGGCACGGGGTGCAGCCCTCATCCCGGCCTGGAGGGTGCTGACTGACTCTCTTTGCCCCAAGGGTCTGCCTGCTGGGGGTCCTGGCCCTAATCATCAGCTGGGGCGCACTGGGCTTGGAGCTGGCCGTGTCTGTGGTAGGTGATGGAGAGCACAGGTGGTCCCCGTCTGCTGGCCAAGCACGGGGGGTGGGGTGGGGGATGCCACACTCATCACCCCTCCCCTCTTCCCCTGGGGGCCTGTCGCGGGGACACGGCCCGTCAGTCCCCGCCGCCTGCAGACTCACGCCACCTTCCTGAGCCAAATGCAGACCCTGGGGGACCAGGCTCCACCCCTGAGAGCTGAGGGGTCTGGGGCGGGGGGACGCCCAGCTCAGTCATCCCATCCTCCTTGCCTGCACCCACCCCAGGGCTCCAGCGACTTCTGCGTGGACCCCGACACCTACGTGACCAGGATGGTGGAGGAGCGCTCGGTGCTGAGCGGGGGTGAGTCTGCAGTTGTGTCCCAGCAGTCCCAGCCACACGTGAGTGCCAGCTGCTGCCTGCAGGGCCACAGGCCATCTGGGTCAGGCCTTGCGCTGGCTCCGTTGACAGGTGGCGAAAGTCAAGCGTGGGGCTTCCTTATGTTTCCGACATAAGTTCCGCAGGAACCCAGATCTTGGCGGCCAAGTATGGGTGCGGCGCGGAGAGGCTGCCCTGGGCCGTGATGGACCTCACTCCTGGCCCACGTCGTGCACTGGATCCCAGAGAGCCGCCAAGAAGGGACCAGAGAGCACAGGGCGGGGGTGGGGGGGCAGGTGTTAGGCAGTTGGGGTCCAAGGCTTCTTCCCCAGCTCTGGCTGGGCTTGAAAAATCTTAGGTTTTCAAAATCAGAATTATAAGTGAATCCCCATCTCTGAACGTTGGACACTGAATCAACACCTGTTTTAATGGGGATGAGCAGGCCACCTGCACGCTCCGGCTTCGTGCCCCCCTTTTTGGGGTGACATTCTGGCCTAAGAACTGTTCTGCCCAACTGGTCTGGGAGCAGATGCCCGCCCAGGTGACCTCTGACTCCTTGCCCACCCCCAGTGCCCTGTCTGCTGCTCCCCAGGGAGGGGAGATACGAGGCCGCCCCCCAAGAGAGAACTGTGCACATTTCAGGAACATGGCTCAGAGGAGAAGGGCCTGGGCCCTGGCCCCAGGCTCCCTGGAGACCATGTGCCCCCTCACACCTGCACGCTCACAGATACAGACAGGTGCACACGTGTAAATGCGCACACATGTGCAGACGTGCGCATAGACACCCACGTGTGCAGACATACGCGTGTCCACAGATACACCTACACACACGACACGCAGACACAGCCGCACACATGCAGATAGGTGCGCGCACACGTGTACGTGCACACGTGCAGATACTGGCATACACATAAATATATACAAGCAAGCACACGTGTGTCTAGCATACATGCAGGCGTGGAGACACCCATATACACGTATACACAGACACGCACGTGTAGACATACATCACATGCAGACGCACACAGGCACATGCGGACGGCTGGAGTGGCTCAGCCGCCCTGACCTCTCTCCACAGACATCCTTCAGTACTACCTGGCCTGCTCACCCCGTGCCGCCAACCCCTTCCAGCAGGTGAGAGCTCGGCTGCTCCGGCCCCGCAGAGCATTGGTCCCTGGCCCCTGCCCCCAGGTGCCCGCAGACCACGAGGCCCACTCTCACACCTCGTCGGGCCCCAGGAGCTGTCGGGGGGCAGTTGGGCGAACGCCACGCTGACATTGCTAACTGCCCCGGGGTTACCACCCTGACAACCTCAGCGCAAGCCTTTTGGGGTGGCCTGCTTAATGCCCTCGCATCCCTGGGACTGCTTTCATTTCTCAGGCTGCCCCAGCCATCCCTGTAGGACAAAGCCAATTGTCTGGCGGGTGTGGGAGGAGCCCAGGGAAGCCCCATGGAAGCAGGGGTCCTGTACCTGCTGTGTGGAATACCTGGATGGATGTTGGCATGATGGAATTTGAAGGAAAGCCATGTAGCCCACTGCCTGTCATTCCACGTAACTGTGTGGCCCTCTGGGGTCCTCAGCACTGTTTATCTGCTCTAAAGACGCTGTATGTTCACTGTGTTGCCTCTGGGGTGTGTGGTCATCTGGGGGGCCAAGAAGAGGTGTCCCACAGGCCCACAGAGCAGACTGCCGGGCACAGCCATCCCACCCCATGAGCTCGTGGCCTCACAGGCTGGACGCCCCTTGGGCCGGCAGAAGCCAAGGGCACTGGAGCTGGCCTGCGCCGCGTGTGGGTGGGGACCTCGGGGAGGGAGAGACGGCTGCCCCCACCCCCGCTGGAATCAGCCGGCCTCTCTGTGGAGCAGAAGCTGTCGGGCAGCCACAAGGCTCTGGTGGAGATGCAGGACGTGGTGGCTGAGCTCCTGAAGACCGTCCCGCGGGAGCACCCAGCCGCCAAGGTGAGGGATTGTGGGTGTGGTCAGTGGAGCCAGTGGGATCCCTCTTCGCATCACGAAAGGGAGGTGGGGTGCAGACACTGCTCAGGCTGCCTCCCGCGGGACCCTGCTGGGGGGTCTGGCCTTCTCTCCCACCTGCCATCCTTCCCCTCACGTCCCCGAGGATTTTTGGTAGGTTTTACAATGCAGACACACTCACACACACTCACACACGTGTGCGCACACACACACTCACACACATGCACAGACACACATACACTTTAGGACCAGTCTCACTCTGCACAGAGTATCTTGGACAGTGTTTTGTCCCTTAAGATATTCTGAAAATTTCCATTGTCTTAAACTGTTCCTTAAAACGTGATTTTTAAAAGAACCAGGCCCGTGTCAGGGGACACGCGGGCGTTTGCTGTTTCTCCCGTTACAACAAAGGCCCAGCCCTGGTGGCCACGTGGGCAGGTGCTGTGCGTCCGTCTCCTCGCTGTCCCCCTCACGTCTTCAGCAGCCCCCTGAGACCAGGGCACAGACTTGGGGGGTCCCCCTTTCTCAAAGCCAAGGGTCCTCAGGGCCTGTGCCAGGACTGTGGGGGTCAAGGGGGTCTCGACGGCAGGGTGTGGGGTGGAGGGAGGCCTGTGGCAGGCTCAGGACCCTTTCCGGAACGTTGTGCTGACCTTGTGTGGTCCACGCCCTCCAGGACCCCCTGCTCCGTGTCCAGGAGGTGCTGAACGGCACGGAGGTGAACCTGCAGCACCTCACCGCCTTGGTGGACTGCCGCAGCCTGCACCTGGTGAGAGCCGTCTCCTAGAGCCGGCCCACGGCTGGGCAGGCTGGGCAGGCACGGGGGGCAGCAGGGAGCAGTGGGGAACAGCTAGGGGCAGAGTAAGGGGAGGGGGAGGGGCTAGGGGAGGGGTGGGTGAGGTCAGGGGGAGGGGAGCAG